GGTAGATCCAGCATTAGCTGGGCTTTAGTTTATTTACAAGTGACCGTGGCGCAGAAGCGAGGACGTGAGACTCCTAATCAAAAGGTCGGATATCTGGAAGGTTTAAAATGTTTTAATTTTTTTGGTCGAATTTTTGCTGCATAACTTTGGCAATTTGATAGAAACTGTAGCTGCTTTTTTAATGGCTAGTGTTAGTAAAATTACAATCGGTTGTGAAGTACCTGTGAGAAAGTGGTACTTTTAATCTCAACAAAAAATTTTCAATTTGTTTTTTTTATCTGTTCCTTATTTCACTTTGTTTTGCCTGTTTAGAGCTATTTTTTGCATTTTCCTCGCTTGTGTTTGCGAATCACAGCTTCACCTCTGTGTTCAGTTTTTTTTTCAACGCAAAATCAGGTACCTGAAAATAATCATCGGAATGGGTTAAGTGATATATCATCTTAAAGCACTCTCAACCGTGATTCGAATGACATTAAAAATTGTTCTAATGTCCAGAAAAACGTTTCAAATTTGTGAGTTTTTTCAAATTTCGAGCGAGTAAAGCGATCGAGTAACGCTCTCTCCATCTGAAAATTAGTAATATAGGCTGAAAAAAAATTGATTTTACTCATAGGAAAACTATTTATGAAAGCTTCATTAAGCGCATCTCTGGCAAAAAAATCCAAAAAATGATTTAAGTATTAGTGCAAAAAATTGATAAAACTTTTAAAAATTTAATTTGAAATTTTTTTTCATTATTTTGTTTATTTATTTTGTGAAGAAAATTGTTGTAGTTTGTCTAATTCACTAAATTTTCACGCGTTACAGCGTTTGTTCCAGCGTTACACGGCGCACAAGAAAAGACACTATTATGAGAAAAATTCTTGAAAATGTCAAAAATTCGTCAAAAACGTCAAAGGAAAATCAAAGAATCGTTTTCAAGTCTAAGATAAGGTAAAGTGCTGATTTAGATTATCCGGACGGAACGATTAGAATTTCAAATATAAATCGCGGTTTTTCATTTTGAGTTCATTTGGTCAAACAGTGAAAAGGAATAAAGTTGCTTAGAATTTTAGCTGAATTAATATGGTGCCATTTATTTTGCAAAATTCAACAACAAAAACGGAACAATGTTGGCTTTTTCAGTCAATCAAAAATTGCACAAAAACTGCAGCGTCATTTGCTAACAAAACGACTGCAAAGTGAACCTCTTATGTAGCCCAGTAAAGTTCAACCAGAGTATTCAAAAGTTGTTTCAAATAAAAAAAGAAGATTTAGGTAGTGTCAATGTCATTTACGGCTAAGAAACTAAAAATAAGTTTATTTATACAAAAGTTAGATGATTATATCCTCTTTAGTTTTGTTAGCAATTGAACTGGTAGTTTTAATGAATTTTTTGGTCGACTGAAAACAGCCCAAGTTGTTTTGTTTGTAAGAATTTTGCCAAATCCATTGCACCATATTAGTTCGGCTGAACTTCTTTGCATCTTTAGTGTTCATATGTTTTTTTTTGCCTATTGTCAACCAACCCAATTAGATACAAACACATTTCAAATTTCAAAATTAATTCGTTTTGTCCGGATAGCTTAAATCATCTCTGCATAGAGAATTACAAAAAGTTCAGGCTGAAAGAATTTTATAAGAGGATCAATGTTCTGCACCAGTTTCGACGTCTCAGTAAACCTTGACCAAATTTCGGGCTGTAAAATAAGCTTTTTGGCGCTAAAATTTTCCAAAACAATTTTTCTAACTTTTGTTTTTGATTGTTTTTTCGCTACCAATTTTTCGCTACTGATTATATAGTTTTCAACAAATTTTTTGGTCAACGTCTCAAACTTTTTAAATATTTTTGACCTTCAAGCTAAAACTAATTCAAAATAGTTCTTTGAACTTGCTCGCTTGCCTTTTTGTCGGAGGTTTATGTGTGTTTTTTTTCTGCTTTGCTGCAGTGTAAAAATTCAGTGCTGAATTCAGTGTTTTCAGTCGACAAATTTTTTGGTCGTCTCAAAATTTTTAACTAATTTTGACCTTCAAGCTAAAACTAATTCAAAATAGTTCTTTGAACTTTCGCTCTTGCCTTTTTGTCGGCGTTTTATGTGTGTTTTTTCTGCTTCGCTGCAGTGTAAAAATTCAGTGCTGATTTATACAAAAGATAGATGATTATATCCCCTTTAGTTATCCCCTTTAGTTATCCGAACAAAACCAGTAAAATTAAATGAAAATTTAATTTAAACTTGAAATTTAAATTCAAACCTGAAGTTTAAAACTTTGAAGTTTTAAAATCCGAAAAAAATTTAAAACCATTCAAAAGGTTGGAGACAAGCTTGCTTAGAGTTTAAGATTTTGAAAGAGATAATTTATTTTACCCTACAATTGAGTCACTTTTGGCGTTTTGTAGTCAACTAAAAATTACGCCAAAATTACCTGGGCAATTGCTGAAAAAGTTATACTAAAGGGAATAAATTGCCTAGCCCAGCAAAGTTAATTAAGTTACGTATTATAATTGTATGTAACTAAGAAAATTGTATTTTGTATAGTGAAAATGCCATTTTTAGGCTATCAAACAAAAAATAATTTTGTTCATTGTTGGTCTTGAACTTTGTTATCTGCGTCTTGAATTTTTTGTGCTAGATTAGAGGCTCCCTATGGTATAAATTTTCCAGCAATTGACCTGATAGTTTTGACATAGTTTTTTATTGACTACAAAAGCCAAAGGTGAACTTTTGGGGAAACTTTTTGAAAATTTTTTAGAGACATTTTCGGGCACGAATTTTGTTTAAAAAATTGCACCGTATTAAATCTGTTAAAATTTTACGCAAGTTTTGTCGCAACACTTTTTTTTCTAAAATTGATCCAATTTGAGAAAAAAGCGTTTCCAATTTGAATTTTTATTCGTATTGTCCGGATACTTTAAATCAGCACTATAACGTGCGAGCTGCTCATGTGCTTAAGTTTTGAACATAAATAATCTTGCAAAACAAAAATTAATCGACTCGGGAAAAACTAGGTGAACTTCAAAGGTTGTTCAATTCTTTAAAGATTTTCCAGACCTTTCTCGTTGTTAATCATGCAAACCTAGGGGCAAGAAATCGTTTCATCCTCAAATGAGATCAATTTCTTAGTTTTTCAACTGATCGTTCTCTAATTTTTTGCAACCTGCTTCAGAGGTAGTCCAAACCTACGTTCCCATCAAGATGACACTGGTTCTGGAATTTAGATGCACACTGTGTTTTATAAAATACCTGTTTCAGTCCAACGTTTAATACAACCTGCTGGAGGCTGCTGAGATGCGTTGATAAAAAAAATAACAAAAGAATTTTGTCATAAAAAAATTCAACAGCACTAAGTCATAAATGCAAGAGTATGTGCATCATGGAAATTTAGAAAAAGACTAGATGCGTTATTTTTGTTACAAGCTAATCAATTTGCTCATACTGGAGTCGATGCCGATGATGTTTGACTAAATGCCGAAGTGCAAGTCTGAAGCAGTCATAGCAAAAGCAAGCTTAGAGACAGCTGTTCGTTTCGAATGAAAGAGGGAGCATAAAGTTCAGTGGTAAAAGCGGAGAGCTTTTGATGTAGATATATTCAAAATACAAAGTTCGTCGATCTCATCAGTTTTTTTGTGATAGAGACCAAATCGGTCAGAAACGTTCTAATTTTCATGCGCTATAAGTGCTTCCTATTTGTTATAAGTGCTTCCTATTTCTTCTGATCTCTCAATGGCAAGGGCAGAGCAAGATTTGGTTTCGTTAATGGCATTTAGACAGAGTTCGGATATCTTTCGAAATACACAAGCAGTCGCATTGGTTTTATTGCCCTCATCATTTTTTCAACCTTACTCACATAAGTTTATGCTCAACAAATTGGTGGCACTGCATCGCATTTTAGCATTGGAAAACTTATGGCGTTTTTTGTATCCGCTCCTTTATTGGTGGCTAGTGTTTGAAGACAATAAGGTGGTATGGCGCAGTAGGTGGGACGTTTCAGTTTCAGTATTTGTAACATAGTGCTACTCGCCTATGTTAGTCATTCTTAACTAGTTACCATAATTGGAGCATATTAAATATTCAATTGCTATTCTAAATGTCAATGTGAAAGTGTTAAATGATATTTGTTTAATGTAAACAATAAACTGATGAATGTTCAGTATAATTGAGAGAGCCATTATAATCAGGAGCTCGCTAAAAGGAGACAATTCAACTAGTAACACTCACTTCTAATCTTAAGCTCAGACACTAGCGAAGGTTGAAACTGACATCACAAAGCGCATCCCTGAGTTGAAGATTCACTAGCCTAGACCACACATCCAACATACATACATACTTCAACACTCTAGAAAGCATTCCTCAATCAACCAATCGATTATAGCCAGTAAAGGTATATAACATGGCGACTATGAGTGGGATGATGTTACCAACCTTTCAAGACAAGCTGAAGCTGATTGCAAAGTGAGAGTGAAAACAAGACGACATCCACCACAAGACGACTTCCATACGCCACAAGCTGAAACAAGATCACGGCAGTAACTGGCTCAAACAGCAGAAAAGCGGGGCAAAAACTGTTTTGTGTTGATGACAACTACTACACTTCTCCAGGAAAGTGATACAGTGTACAAAAACAGTTAGTTAAAACTTAAAACTCTCGGTGCTTAAAGTAAAATTGATGAGTGCTCATTTGAAACTAGTCATTTGAAATCATCCATGAGAACCGTCTGAAAACCTATCCAGTGCTTAAAGTCTAACCAAATTTCAAAAAGAAAAATAGTGGAATAATATTAAAGCCGCAAGACAAGTTAACTTAAAAAGTAGAAAGTTTAAAAAATATAACAACAAGAGTTAATTAACTCCGACTCGTAACTAATCATAGTACGAGCTAACTATATATTTTCTCAGAGACGATAATTACGTCCTTAAAACTTAAGAACCCACTAGGCAATAATTATTTCCACTATAAAATAGCGACTGATTCATCTGAAATCATTTTTGAATCAGACTTGACAATCATATAACTGTGATAAGATGGCGCACGCTCAAATCTCAGTCGAACCGTTTGGCGGAAGCGATAACGAAGATTTCGCCCAATTCGAACAACTTTTCCAAGGATACGTTGGAGTTGCGGGAATCGCAAATGCTCAGCAAGCGAATTTTCTACAATTGCACCTGCGAGATAGCGCTCTGCGATTCTACCAGACACTGCCAGCACTAACAAGAGCCGACGTACCTCTTAGTCTAGCGGCACTACGCGACCATTTTTGCAACCCTCAATTGCAAGAGGTCCACGTTCTAAAACTCGAACAATCGAAGTTCGATATCAAGCGAGACTCACCAGAAAACTACCTGGTCAACCTCACAAAAAAGGCACAGCGAGCCTACCCTACACCGGATCTACCTGCGGTTGCCCCAATCGACGGAGCACTAGCAGACGCTGCAGCCGCTGCAGACACAGCGCGCTTCCATAGAGAGACGGCACAACGTCAAGAACGACTTGACGCTGAAAATGATCATAGGAACAACCAAATTAAACGTCTTTTTATAAAAGGCATGCCCAATTGGCTCCGTTCGAAGATGATGGAACAACCAGCTGCCACAACAGTACAAGAGCTTTGTAACCTGGCGCGCAAACAAATGACAATTAGAGACGTCTGTCGTAATGAGGATTACCCAGAAGATAGTTTCAATGAAATTGGAGATACAGTTTCTCACAACCTAATCAGTGCGTTGTCGAAACTAACAACAGCCCAGGAACAGATTGAGAAACAACTCAACGAAGTCCGTAGTGAGCTATCGGATCAGAGAAAAATGATCCAGTCACGACCACAACGTGACAACGGAAACACACAGCAGAGCTCTCAACTGAATAGCCAAAACGCTGGTGGGAATAATAATCAAGCCCAACAACAAAATCAAGGAAACAATGCACAAAATCAAGGAACTGGAAATGGCCCTGATCAGGGCAATACTTCTGGCCCTAATCAAGGGAATGGTTATCAAGGGAATGGGCAACAAGGATACAATCAAAGAAAGGGGAGATTTGGTAAAGGAAAAAAGAACGGACAGCAGAGAAATGATGGGGGATACGGAAACCAAGGTTTCTCCGGGTTTCAAAATATGCAGTACCCCCCACAAATGTTCCAGTTCCCCCAACAGATGCCTGGAATGCAATCGAACCCCTATTTCCAACAAAACCAGAACTACCCTCAAACACAACAGAACGCTCAATTTTATTCGAACCAGATGTACCCTCAGGGCCAACAAACCCAACAGCAACAAGCGATAGCTACGCCACCACAACAGAATCCTCAGTTTGCCCAGCAAGTTGCACAACCAATGATGCAGCAGGTGCACACCCAAAACCCAAATACAGCAGCAGTTCGCACTGGATCAAAATTCTGTGATCACTGCGGGAAGTTTGGCCATACCATAAGCCAATGTTGGCACAAACCCAAGCCACAGGGACAGCAGCAACAGAATTTCCCGTTCCAAATGGAACCAAAAAACTAACTCAGCCACAAAGTCAGTCAGTCAAATCATCTAAATCACAAAAATCACGTAAATCAAGAAAATCACGCAAATCAAATATTCAAGACGTACAAGACGATGAAATTATTGATCTGTACGCCGTCATCCCAACCGAAGGAACAGTGCTAACTTATATGAAAATAAGATTAGCGCCAAGCCTTCAAAGAAGAGTACTGATTGACACAGGAGCATGTGCAAACGTAATTTCGAAACAAACATTCGATGAAATTAAAAACGAAAAAACACTATTCGCACCCTATAAAATGGCAAAATCAAGCCTCAAGCAAGTGAGAATGGCAGGAGGCCAACTAGTGTCAATTGAAACTGAAGTTACCATTGAATTTCATATGGCAGATATGAACTTTACGGAAACGTTCCTAGTGCTGAATTCAGCGAATTCAACGATCCTGGGAAACCCATTCTTTAAAAAACACCATATACATGTCTGCTCAAAATACAATCTACTTCACTTTCCAGATTTGACACTCCAAATCAACGAAATTAAACCCGCCAATGCACCTAGACGCACCAACCGAGTAAAAAAATTTCCTCTTGTCCTCACCAAGAAACAAATAATTGCACCTCATCAAACAGTCATAATCGAGTGCCAATTACAAGATACCCTGACTGACATGGAAAAAACGACAGGAATCGTAGTCCCATCACAGGAACTCGAAGAAAAATGCGAATTAGCAGTAACCTCATCAATAAATGAAGTTAACAAACAAAACATCATCTATGTCACGGCATTTAACATGACAGAACATAACTTAACGTTGCCCTTTAAAACCGAAATCGGAAAATTTTCGATACTCACGCTAACCGAGTACGAAAATTTAATACAGATCGAGCCGCAAACTTTGGCATTAGCGAAAATGAACCAGCCGGATAATGTCGAACTCGGAATCAATGAAATAATAACAAGCCCTTCAATAGGATCAGAACAAAAACCACCCCCCGAATACGAGAAATTTTGGTTCCCGACGCCCGAAACGTGCCCTAACCCAGAATCACTTCCCAGTATTCAAAGGGAAATATATGACCAAATCCTCTACTTTCAAGGTCTTGAGAAAATTGAACCAAATAATAACATTCAAGACCGGTTGTCCTTTTTGAGTAACTTTCAGTGGGAGAATTCAGTGTTGACAAATGACCAAAGGTCAGAAGTAGAACATTTGCTCATCGAATATGCGGATATATTTGCCAAACACAGATTTGACGTGGGTTATAATTCCGACCTAAAGATCAAGTTGACACCCGAACATCAACGCCCACTGTACACCCAAGGACCACCTACGCCCATCCAACTAAGGAATGAACTGACGGTTGAATTAGCTCTGATGCACTACTTCGGACTTATAACAACACTGTCACATTCTAAATACAGTAGTCCGTTGTTTGCACATAGAAAGCCATCTGGAAAATTGCGGATGTTGATTGACCTCCGGCGTATCAATCATTCAATCAAAACGGACTATATAAATAGCAATTTTCCAATATCAAACATGACCGATGCATCAAACCACTTTGCCGGAAAGAGTTTGTTTACTAAATTGGACTGCTCACAAGCATACCATTGTGTGCAAATGGCAGATGACCTTTCGGTCCAACTTTTGGCATTTAACTTCGGGTCGCGGACGTACGCCTATAAATGCCTAGCCCAAGGTCTAAGTAAATCTGTCACGGGATTCAGTTCATTCATCCGCCACTACCTCGATCCATGCCTAGCAGCCGATTTGTGCACACAATTCATGGATGATATAGGAAGTGCGGTGAATAATTATGAGGAACTAATACCCACGTTAAAGAAAATATTCGAATGCATCCGAAAATCAGGCTTAAAACTTTCACCTAATAAATGCGAAATAGGAACACAAAGAATGAAATTCCTAGGAAATGTAGTAACACCACAAGGAGTTACGCCAGAGGAAGCAAAAATTTCCGCATTCCTAAGCAAAATAAAAATGCCAAGAACAGTGAAACAAGTTAAAAGACTCATCGGGTTTGTGCAGTTTTTTAGGAACTACATGCCGAGTCTTGGTGAAAAACTAATACCATTCTATAAGCTGCTGAAGAAGCAGATCGACTTTGAAATAACTGAAGATCACCATAAAAACCTCAAAACCCTCAAAGCAGACTTAATACAAGCGACCACGTTGACACTCAGACTACCCAAGCCAGGACTGCAGTATGTCATACTTTGCCATGCCAGCTACCACGGGACTGGATTCGTGTTAATGGTCGAGGACTACGTCAAAAACGAGAAAAACGAAGAAATCAAGACGTACGCGCCCGTTTCTTTTGGTTCCCGGCTATTCAATACAGCACAGCTGAAATTTTCAATCTACTACAAAGAATTCCTAGCCTTGTATTTCGCACTTGATCATTTCTCGCACTACATCTGGGGATCAGTCAAACCAGTGATTGTATTAACAGATAATAGAAGTCTGACGCAATTTTTTCAGGCAAAAACCATACCGCCATCAGTGTGGAATTTCCTGGACCGAGTACTGTCTTTCAACATCATAATCGCCCACATCCCAGGAACAGCAAATTACGCAGCAGACTTCTTGTCCAGGATGCAAACGGACCCATCAGCATCTCTCTCACTAAAACTGACAGACAAAATACCAGTCAGGGAAATTTATATCGACACAACAGCAAGAGTACCCGATGCATCGCTTAACCTGGTTCAATCTATCGATGAGGCATTTTCTGAAACAGAGCAGGTCGATGAAGCTCTAGTAGCAAACCTGCAAAGATTAGGACTTTATCAAGCATACCTCGACAAACAAACAACATGTGATAGTCAAGGAACAATAGAACCTAAGGCGCTTGTAATGTTGAAGAGGCCGATGATGAATGCGATAGAGTATCCAGATCCAGCAGAGAACCACATTGAACTAGACTCCAAAAATGAGCCAATTGACAGGAAAAAGGAACAACAACAAGATACTGACATCGAAGAAGTAAAGAAGTGGATAAGAACAGGCGAAATACCAGACCTTACGTATGCGAATAGCAGACTAAAGAAGTACGCAAAGCAATTCAATCGACTTGTCATTGAAGACGAAGTCCTTCTCCGCAACTTCTACGACGATACTGGTAAAATCAAATATAAACAGTTCTGTGTACCAAAACACATGTGGAACGAAACCCTATACAGAGTCCATAATTCGATGACAGGAGGACATATTGGCATGACACGAACCACAGAGGAATTCAGAAGGAGATTCTATTTTCCCGGATTCTCGGAGTTTTTGGTCAACACAGTCAAAAACTGTTTAACGTGCCCGCAGCTCAAAAATGCTTCGAGTAAACATCAAACGCCACCACTTCAACCACTTTCCTCGTTACAATCATACCCTGGTGACATGATGCAGATCGATATAGTCGGACCGCTAAAGTCACCGGTTTACAAGTTTGTTCTAACTGGAATCGACGTTTTTTCAAAATACCTGTTCGCAGCACCAATGACGAACGCAAGCGCTGATACGGTGGCGAGAGAACTAACGAAGATGTTTTTCATGCACAGTTATGTGCCAAAAAGGATACTGTCGGACCTGGGAAGTGTATTTACCTCTAAGTTAATCCACGAACTCACAGGCCTTCTAAACATCAAAATTGGACACGCAACGCTGAAACACCCACAAACCATCGGACTGGTGGAAAGATCCCATGGGGCACTGAAAAGGATCCTCAAACTTAACACTGACGCCCAATGGACCGATTGGCACCGTTATGTACCCCTTGGGACCTTCATACACAATACGTCATACTACTCGTCCATCGGATGTTGTCCGAGCACCATTTTCCACGGGAGAGAGCCTACCAAACCGCTTGATCTCAGATTTTCGACCAAAGCATTGGAAATTGCTACGGCTAATGCCGACTTTGTAACCGCGTTACAAGACGCGATGCTCGAAAAATTCAAAGAGACTAAAGACAACATCGTGTCATCATATCACAGATACCGGGGATACTACGACCAAAAAGCACTAGCCCAACCGCTAGTACTTCACTCGTTCTGTCTCCTCCTCAACCCTCTTCTAACAAATCAGTCTGATACCCGGAATAAGTCACTCCAAGTGTGGCTCACCTTGTATAGAGTGGAAAACGTTCTAACTAACAGCAATTACATAGTACGGAAAGTCGGAACCAACCACACACAGTGTGTCCACAGAATTCGACTCCGATCGATTCGACCACAGAATCAACCAGAAGACATTGACCCAATCGATGAGGCTCAATTCGTGGTAGATCCGTCACTAAGCAAGTACCGCAGTGAGCCAGGGTTATTTGATGACTACCTACCTAGACTGCTTGACGACGTTCAACCGCAACACGACAGCGAAATCCAACAAGCAACTCCGACTACCATCCGCTTATCAATACCAGTAGGAGGACCACTGGCACCAGCGCCACCCCCCGCAGTAGTTATGGCACCACCGCCTCCAGTAGCACTCCCAGTACCGCCACTAGTAGTGCTTCCTCCACCACCACCAGCACCACCACCACCACGTGAACCACCAGCACCAATAGTACCACCAAGGCCGCCATCTCCACTTGATATCGAACTGGAACCAATGAATCCACCACAGCCTGGGCAACAGGAAGCACCCATTGGGGAAGATCACATGGACGGAGCGGGAGCAGCAGAGCCAGGTGAAATGGCACAAGAACGTGACGAAACTGCCGAGGAACAACCCGTACAAGAACCACCGCGAACGAGACGCAAAGCAGCAGCCATAGCACGTGACAGGATTTATGGACAAACTCGATTCAGCAACGACGTACGATACCACCCAATACCACCTCGGGAGAAGCACCTTCGCAAATATGGTCTGAGAACAGTAGATGGACACGAAGTTGCTCCGGTTACCTTTAGCCCAATATCTAAACGGAAAGAAAACCAGGAAAAAGTACGGCAACAAGCAGCTGAGGCAAACGAATTATTCCCCCCAAAAGAACAAAAGAAGAGA